CATCTCCAATGTATTCCTCCATTTTATCTTTAAAATGAAGTAACTCCAAAATTGAGTTGGATTTCTCTCTAATGTATTTTTCTATTTTTAACTCCAAAAATAATATTCTAAATATATTCTTCATTTTTATTTTATTATTAATTACTAATAATGCGTTTTATTTATAAAAATTATAAGTGAACCTATTTATTTTTTCTGTTAAAACTTCCATAAATTATAATATTATTTTAAATTCAACCACTATAATATAAAAATAACATTATACACCATTTAAAATAACAAAATAAAGTACATTTTAATTTAAATATCACTATTTGAATATTTTTTCATAAATGATCAATTAAAACATTTCAAAGTGAGAAATGAGTATTTTTAACTTTGATTTCTCTGAATCGAGCAAAAAATTTTTGGACAATATTTTAATAATCTTGGTGGATCTGGAAGCAGTTTACCGGATTTTTATTAATCAGTTGTTGTATTAAATTTATTGTATTTCTTATGTATTTTTAATTTTATATTATTTCTAGTTTCAGTTAATCTTATTATATTTTTATTTTTTATTCGCAAATTTTAAATGTATCTGTATTTTATTTAAAATTAAATATATATATATATATATAATATGAAGGATTTTGTTATAAATAAAAAATATAGTTTTAAGAATTAATGTAAAATGAAAGATTATTTTATAAATAAAAAAGTTCACCTGCAAAATGGAGTTAAAAATTGGACTACTTCATATTTGGATTACTCTATTTACACGATCACCAATTTCAACGACAATGGAAAATTAGTTCCCATAAAATGAATTTCTCATCATATCCTAAGAAAATTATTAAGTAACTGTGCAATGTGGATACTGATAAATGATAACGATTCAACCACCAATAATGTCAACTCTATAGTGCGACAATAAAACAATATTCACGTCGGTTACAAAAATTGTAGTGGTACGTTCTTGTCTCACTTGGTTATCTCTAGACAGATCACCTCTTCAAAGAGGTCACTTTCTCATTCTAGAGCCATCACTAAAACTCGTCTAGTCTTTGTAATATAGATATAGGGTGTGATGGTGCCATGGTGGTACAACGTTTTCTACTTGCTTCGTAACGGTTCAAAAGAAACAGACATGTCCTACATTTACAAGAAAAAGACACTATACAAAGTAGTGTCCAAACACCATTCAGTAAAACGATAAAGAATAGATTGTAAGAATATAATATGCGGTAAGAAATTGGTAGTATAAAATAGAAAAACCGGCAATATAATTACACAAAGGCTTGTTTTTAGCTTTCGAAATGGTACTGACGAAGAAGGTGAATCCACCATATAAATAAAGAATGGAAAAAAAAAAGGTGAAGTAAGATGTTAATAAGTATGGAAATTTAGCCTTGGCACTGATTATAGTGTAATGAATCAAATAAGGTCCAAAGATTAAAAACTAAAAATTATATTCCATGATTAAAAAAAACGAAAAATAAGAGCAGTACAAAATTCAGTGATTGACCACATATAAAGATGCCCAATTTTGGGTCCATCGATTCTATTTGAAAATAGAGAAGTCAAGAAAAGTCTTCCAACAGACTTATCTGAAATAATATTTTTCTTTCTTAACATCTATATTTATTTATACATAAATTACATAAAATAATAAAAGATACAACGAATTAAACGAATGAAATAGATTTTGACAATGTTTTTTTTTTCTTTTAGAAGCCTTACTCACCAATAAAGTATTAACTATCAATGCATCACTCATACGATGAAATCGCAATACCTATATCGCAACATAAACACTTTAAAATACCAAAACCTATACGTTTTCTAAAGTGTATTACATTGGATAATTTTTAATTTATATATGAAATGCTCTTTGATTAAAAATCCAACTTACTACTTTTTCGATAGAAATAAAATCACCAGAAACTGTCTGACTACGAGCAAAATAAAGTAATTAAATAATTATCAGTTAAAAAGAAAATAGAAAAAAAAACTCTATGTTACGATTATTCTAGGTGCATCAAATGAGACTTGCACCACTTGTTACGTGCACGAACTTTTTTTTTTGTAAGTAGTTATAATTTGCAACACTTGTGTTATTTTGTAAGTAGTTCTAATTTGCAACACTTGTTACGTGCATATATTCTTTTTTAGGGTGGAGAGATGTGTAAGTTTTTCTATTTTTGGAATTCAAATCAAAATGATGATAATAAATTACATAAATAGAAAAACAAGCACCCAGAAAAGAAAAAAAGAAAAAAAGCGAAACGATGTTAAAGTGGGAAGAAAAAGAGACGTCAAAGAACAAAGATAAGTAAAAGCGACCCATCTTTTTTTTTTTTACTTTACATGCACGAACGACCCCCAAAAACAAAAACAAAAACCTGAAGGAAAAATAAAGAATCTCTGGGAGTAAAATAAAAATCATCATAAATTGTATGTCTTTTGTCACTTAGCGATTCTACTTTAACAAAACCACTAAATAGGGGTCCCCTCTTCACTAAACGATGAAAACATCTCTGCTTTTGACATGACAATCTCACTATCAAACCATAACTTCTCCTATTCTTATCACACACAACAGGGAAATTGCAGGTAAGTGTAGTTTTCTCCAAAAGTGAAAACAAACAAAAATTAGGAGGAGGGTCCTCTCATTCTTCTTCAGGGTTCCGTACAAAGACATGCTCTATGATCAAACATTCAAACCGTAGAAGACATACACCAGACTCATGCTCTATGAACCTATCATCTATCAACAGCTCAGTAGTAACCAGTTAAATTACAATGGAGATGGGCTGAATCAGTATTTGTAGGTTGTTAGACTTGGTTATGTTGAACCTTTATATGGTTTTATCACATAACACTTTGTATATTCATTTTCATTCATTGAAAAAGAAAGCATTTATATAGATTTTATTTAAATGGTATCAGAGCCGGGCTGCTAAGGTAGATCAGCGCTTCATATTGTTAAATACCCTATCTTTCATAAAAAGACAAAGCACCTTTGTTCATAACTAAGCACATTTGTTCATAACTAAGCGTATTTCTATTGTCATAAAATGAGAGAATGCATCGTTTCTTGTTTTCCAAAGACTCTTCATGTGAGAAGTGAACATCAGCTTCCAAATGCTCTTAGCAATATGAGACCATTTTCTATTAGGAATATATCCACATCGAAAGTTGGATAGGATTCTAAACAATAAATAAAGGATATGGCCAATTCACTCATAGCCAATTCCTTTTGAGTTACAAGTCCATGTAACTTAACATGGTATTAGAGATTAATCCACGTGCCAACTCGCTCTATCATCAATCTAACCCAAAGTTGGTTTCATCGATCCAACTTCGAACATACCGAGAGATTAATGCACAAAGAGCTATCAAAAGCGTATTAAGAATTATATCCTACATTAAAAGTTGGAAATGATTTTCAGCAATATATAACAGATATGAGTCAATTCACTCATAACCAGTTGATTTTGAGTTGGAACCATATAACTTAACATCTTCAGTTAGACTTTAAAAGATAATCTAGAGATAATCTCATCAGCTTGAATGATTGAACTGGTTGGTTATATAATAAAATCTAAGTCTAAGGGATGGTTTTAGACTTGGTTTAGTCGGTTATATGAACCAGTTATTCATACAACCGTATTCTCCATCTTGAATAGGTGGCTTTAGACTTGGTTTCGTTGGTCATATTGAACCGGTTTATTCATATGGTTTTATCATATTGATTTTCAATCAATGAAGCCCATTTCTTAATTAGATTTTTTGTAGAATAGGTCTACAAGTTTTCAGGTGGGGGTGAATACATGAAAAGGAACAAACAACTAACTAACAACAAAGTGGGGTTACCGAAACGACACAAGAGATAAAGAAAAAAGAAGAAGGTGGGGAACAAGGGAGATATGTACTTAATTGAGTTTCTATCTTTCTAATTTCAAAAAGAGAGAAAAATCAATTACTTATGATATTGATAGACCCACAACGATGCTGGACCCTAGGAGAAAATGGACAACGTTTCGACATCGTGTTCGTCAATCAAAACAAGGACACACAAACACAGTTCTCGTTCCATTCTCTTGTTTATCCACTTTGTAAAGAAGAAATCTTTTTTCTCCTGTGGCATTATTGAGTGGAAAAAGAGAGAGAAAGTACTTAACTGATGACACTTAGACATCATCAGGGAGCAGATATGATCTCCTACAGATCTTTGTTTTCTTGGTTTCCCTTACAAAAAGACAATGACTTTATCCCTAATAACGCCAAAGCCCAAAAGCATGTCTCTCACTGTTTAGGATTATTAGAATGCGACCAAGCGTTTGTGTACATAATCAGAAAATTATATACATGATGAGAAAACAAAGAAAAAAAAACGATCTTTAGTTACCCAGAATCTGTGTAAAAAAATATAAACAAAACACAAGATTACTAGCAAACATAATGTGTTAGATCTCGTGACGAGAGAGTGTTGCACAACAAACCCATCAGTCTTGAAATAGAATGTCCAATATTTCATTCTTTTCTTTCGAGATTCAAAATAAAATAACCAACGAAATTGATATTGGTGTGTGTGTGTGTGTGAGTGTGTGTGTGTGTAGTGGAACTCTTACTTGTACTGCAAATTGACTGGTCTTTGAAAGGCCATTGGTCTCTATCATGGAAACTTGTTTATGTTAGGTAAAGGAGCCTGCAAGTACACAGACGAAAAAAAACCAAAGTGCAGCTTCTCTTCTTTCTTATCTACCTGTGTCCTTGCAACTAAATATTCACTTGGTCTCCTCTGAGGAAAAAGGACACACCAATAAAAGAGGACTAGGCAAGAGAGATAATAATTGAGTTGAAGCATCCAATAGCAAGCAGCATAAGAGACCGACTGTTTCTCATCATTATAGGTACACGACCGTGCGTATAGTATATCTTGCACTAAGTATTCCTTTTTCCAAGACATACTTTATCTTATATAGTCATGAATCACCGGAAAATGACTCGACAAGAAGGAAAATACATCCTTTTTATTTATGTAGAAAGATGTATTAAGCTATATATATAATGTTACACAGATACAGCATTTCATTGCTCTGGAAATTTTCAAATAAACATGGCAGACAAAACTGAAGTCAGGAACCCAACTTGCCTTTCAGAAGGACCATGTGACATAGAGACACAGAATAGTTTTTCCTTCATGTAATGACAGTGGGCTTCTCCCTCCCTGTGAAGTCCTTCAGATTTGATACAGACAATGCAAGATCTGTAACATGACAACGAGTTAAAACATTACTAAAGTCATGACTGTGACATCTTTAAGCCTCCAGAGAACAAAACAAGAACGAACCAATTAAAGGCTTTAGAGCTATTTGTGCATCCACATCATGCTTTGAAACGTCTGGTTCAAACTGTTCAATGTATATTCTAACTGTAGCACCAGCTGAACCAGTTCCCTGGAACCAAAAAAATTTCTATGTTAGGTCACTGTGATAAGGCCTAATGAATCTCTCTGTACATATGAAACTTTGAATTTGATTAAGAAAGAAAAAATGAATCTACTACATACGGATAAACGAAATATGATTCTGGAGCCATCCGTAAAAACAAACCGAACACCTTGCTTAGATGCAACACTTCCATCAACCTAAACAGAAATGTATAAACTTGCTCAGCGTATCGGAAGTAAAGGCCTGTTTGAAATATCATCAACAAATTTTTACTATCAGACTTACAGGATCCGTGTATGAAAAGTCATCTGCAAACTGGAGGACATAGTTTCCTGTGAGATGAAAGTTATTATGAACAATCATAATAAGTTGTTGAGCAAGGTAAAAGAAATGGACTGGGATGAACCTAACCATAACTTTCACCGGCCTTGCTCTTAGACACGATATCTCTAAGATGCTCAATCATTTTGTTGGCTCCTTCAGATTCACATTCCTGATAGAAAAATTCTTAAAAAACTGAGAGGTTTTACAAGAAAATTAATTACTTGGAGACCTGTTACAAAAATCATACACAGTCTTACTTCATAGTCGTATCTGGAGAAAAAGTTCCTTCCATACGTTGCCCAATACTCTTTCACAACATCTGCAACAGACACCAACTTTTCCCCTACTTTCTTGTCCTTATTGCGATGAGCTAGGATCGAAAGCCAAGCCAACACAGCCCTGTCATTGAAAGTTAGAGTTATCCTACAATGTTAAAGCAGAGTAGTACATCCAAGGCTACGGAATGGGATTCAAAAAGCCATATAACACAGAAAGCTTCATGAAACCAACTTAAGAATAGTTTATAAGAAATCAGATGACACCTTAATATGAATAAGGAGTTTGTAGCTAAATGATGAAGTAATTCATGGGAGAGTTCTGTCACATAAAAATTAAAACTATATGGTAGATTCAAGTCAGAATTTTGGGAGTTCACCCACTAGAGTACTAGAGATCAGGGGGTCATAAAATTTCTTCTAAATGCCATGATACGATGAAGAATAGATCTAAGCACCATTCGCAAACTGATGTGTAATGATACAAGGCCACTAAGACAACCACTATCCAAGATAAACTGAATTCATCGCATCAACATCTCCATGAATTCATGTCAATGAGTTAATGAAAATTGGGTTTAAGGAAGAGAGTACCATATGCCATCCTTCTCACGGATGTGATCAGAACCTGTGCCAAAGCTCTCTTCTCCACAGATTGACAGCTTTCCAGCATCCATAAGATTTCCAAAAAATTTCCATCCGGTGGGAACCTAGAAAATACAAGTTACTTTGTCAAGAAATTTATCTGATAATTATGGCGCAACCCTGGAAAGTACATATGTTGACTAAAAAGGGTTAACCTCGAAGAAAGGAAGCTTCAACTTCTCGGCAACACGATCAAGAGCACCACTTGTTGGCATAGAACGTGCTAGCCCCTGAGAATAAGATTTGGCATCCATTAACTCTAAACGGCACTAAATCTAAAAGAAAATAGTGTAGTGCAATTTATGCAAAGCAATCCCACCTTAGGACCAGCACGGAAATATGGAATTGCTTCTTGTGCATTGGCTGCAATGATAGCAACAGAATCTGACGGAGTGACAAAGAATTTGTTTCCTAAAACCATATTTCTGTCACCATCACCTGTCAGAAATTTTCACTATTATAGTGACTAAATCTATGGCCGATGCATCTTAAGCTAAAAGAACAAGAACGTTTGAAAGATATCTGTCCACAATCATACCATCACTTGCTGCTCCGAAATCAGGTCCATCGTCACGATACATGACATCAACCAAATCCTTTGCATACCTATATGTAAGAAGATTTATAAAATTTATATACTAAACGAGTATTGAGAAACTTCTCTTCAGTTTGTTGTTTGTTTCTTACGTCAGATTAGGATCTGGATGGCCATGCCCAAAATCTTCGAGGGGAACTCCATTGGAAATTGAATCCTACCAAATATGACTAACATCAATCATCTGAAATGTCTAAAAGTTCAAAAACTAAAATTAGTATTTATCACAATGTCCACGACATACCGGTTTGGCTCCAAGATTATCGACAAAAATTGGTTTCGCATAAGCACCAGTAACAGCATGCATGGCATCAAACATAAACCTAAAGGCAAGGCAAAGAAACAACAACAAAAAAACATCAAATCATAGCCTAGTTTCAGATCTTAGCACGTTGAAGAACTCTACAACCGAGATGAAGGCGCAAGAAATAGAAACATCAACACCAAAAAAGACATAAAAAGCTTCTAGCCAATTTGGGTTTAGCTGTAAGAACATACCCAAAATCTGATCTTGAAAGAAGACCTCTGATGAGATCAAAGTCGAACACATCCTGCATAGAATACCATGGACATATCTGATGTCTAACATACCCAATATCATACGAAAAGAATAGAAGAAGTATGTGGGTATACTCTTACCTCCATGAGCTCCAAGTAGTCGGAAACGGGGTCTATAACTTCCACACTGAAACTCCCATATTTGGTAACTCCAACATGAGAAAGATCAATGTCGGGAATCTCTGCCACCTTAATCTCAGAAATCTAAAATAGTGTACCAGAATCGAGACCGTTATATAAAAATTTTGACAGGATGCCAACTATTTGACTAATCATGAAGGGAAAACTTGGCTGGAGAGCTCACTCAAACTTACTGAAAGTGTATTTCCATAAATTTTGTCAGTAATGGATTCAGGAGCCGGCTGACCACTGCTGTAATTGAACTGGAAATTAACAAAGATCAGATAAGTTATTAAATTATTATCTAACCTCTAAAAATTGTTATAATCAGCTGGCAGAGGAAAAATTAAGTTCAATACTTCTCACGGGTATTAAGGTTAGAGGAAAAAATATTGCAACGGTATGTCACTAATATTTTACCTTGATACCCCAGTCATATTCAGGTCCACCGGGATTATGACTTGCACTCATAATAAATCCTCCATTTGCCTGAGAGAATAATTAACAAAATGAGTTATGGAAAAATGATCTTGAACTTGTTTAAGAAGATAGAGATAGAAAAGCTTGCCTTTCTTTTCCTAATTACAGCGGAAACCGCTGGGGTTGACAAAATGCCTTCCCTGTAAGTATTTAATTTTCAGTTTGATCAGTAAGAAAAGTGGATAATCTCTATGACATGAAGAATAGACACCAAAGAGGAACTGACAGAATAACTCTACAACTTCATTGTAGTTTAAAGTTGACTTGATCCCTATGTCTCAAACGTAAATAATGTGATACCAATAGCTAGGAAGACCAATCTTTCAGCATTCTATTTCTTCCAAGAAACTCTAAAATAGCTAAGGGAAACTTACTGTCCAACTAATATTTTCCCAACTCCATTCCCAGCCGCAATTTTGATAATGATCTGTAAGAGACACTTCTAGCTTCAAGAACGAAAAGAGTTGAGTAAAGATAAATTTTGGAAGTAGAAGGAAACTGAAAATAACCTGTGAAGCCTCTTTGTTGAAGTAACGACCATCACCTCCTAAAACCAATGTCGCGTTCTTATAATCCTCAAGCGGCAATGAATTAAACAATGCCTAGAACCACAGAAACCATTAAAAACTATCCACCACTGTGTTTTCATGAAATAAGTAAATCAATTGCAATCAAACTGGAGTAAGGAATCAGAAACCTGGATCCAGTTTGCTAGATAATTCTCTTGCATGAAAACTTTCACCTGGTGTCACATAAATGATTGAGTACTCATTAGAAACAACTTAGCTCTTTTGGATAATTAGACAACAAGTATGAACAGCAAAATGCTACGATCACAAAAATCAAACTCAACGTGAACCAATATACGTATATTTGATTTCTTCTTTTCCAAAAAACGAAAGTTACTTGACAATTTAAAATCCAAATTTCAAGGAGAGAAATTAAGAAATCATTTGAGTACCTTCTTCCGGAGCCCGCTTGTTCCAGTCTTCTGCCCCTCGATGGGCTTCGTCGGCAACGATTTAATCTATAAACAATCAAACGAGCAAGACCAATTCAAAATCCCAGAAACGCAACGAGAGAACGAGTAGAAGAGATTCTCAGATGAATGAAGAAGAAAATGACCTCAATGCTTTCGGTTCCGGCGACTGTAGCCCCAGACGATGAAGATGCTGCAATCGACTGTAAACGAGGATTAGGCTTGGTTCTAAGGTGAATCCCGGAAGAGAGGAGAGAAGAGTGGGAAGACGGTGACGGCCATAACGGCGAATACTTGGCGCCGGAGAATCTAGAAAGGAGAAATACGGTATCGAATCTCGCAAAGGTCGACGTCATTGTAATTTTGGATTCGAGGCTCGGCGAATTGAAAATCACAGTCGCACTCGGGAAGTGTACGTTAAAGAGTGGAGTGAGAGAGAGGGAAAGATCTGGAGAGAAAGTAAAGAAGATATATGCGTTGATCGGGGAGTCCAGGATTGCCACATGTACTTGCTTCGCTTATCTAGAGACAACTATTTGTTCTATTTTATTTTTTGTTTATTTATTTATTTATTTATTTCTCTTCTCGGTTTCAAGTTTCAAGGAACGAACGAGTAGAGATCCACGTCATTGACTGATTGTCTATACTCTATAGATTCGATGGTATATTCTTTGGGGGTTTTTTTTAATCACTTGTGGAATCAGATTTTGCCATTTTGGTACTTGTGGAGTCACTGAAATGTCATATGATCTTCTGCTAAATAGATGTCTAATGCAGTAAACCAATAAGTATTTTTTTTTTCTTTTAATTCAGATGGATACGAGATTCAAGTTGTATATATACTTCCTCTAGATTAAGTGATGTTTAATTTTTTTGCACAGATTAATTTAATTTTAATTATTTTCATACTAAAAATATCATTTATTATCTATTTAAATATAATTTAAGTAATAAAAATAATCTGTAGAAAACTCTCCTCTCTCCCAACAGGCGACAAAAGCCGATATCAAAAGCACATCTTCGCCATAGTTTCCTCCGGCCGACGTCGGCTCCGGCGTCGGTCGTACTCTTCTTCTATCTATCTTAGTTATTAGATTTCTGTTCCTGGTTGGATGGGAAAATCGATATGTTATGACCGTGAAACGGTGTCTTTTCAAAATGGTTTTTTTCTCTGAGATTGAATTTTGTTTTGTGTGATTTCTTACACTTTCTGGTTTTAGCCTTCAATTCCTTCTCCTATGCCTCTGTTTCTTTTGCTTTTCCTTTGTTATTGTTCATCTTATGTTGTACTATCCTAAATTTTTCTGAACAATCATTATTGTGCATCTTTTCTTCAAATGAAATGGGGGTTTTCTTTATTCAGTTTGTCATACTTACGATTCATCAATTGCGATGTGTTGTTATTCTTTCATTCCCGCCATTAGAATTTATTTTGGCACAGGCCAAATCACATTGTGGTGAAAATTGGTTTGTTGACCACGCCATCAATCTATTGGAGGAGAATGTGATGGTGGTTAGATCTAATCTAGGTTTGTCTTATGATAATTCTCGATTGATCAATCTATTTGTCTCTCAAAATGGGAGGGTTATTCTGGTGGTAATTATCACCGGTTTCTTTCCGTTGTCGAAGGTTTCCGATGGAACACTTAACTCGGCATCGGTTTCTCGTTTTAAACCCGCAAAACCCCCATGGAATCATAGTTGATCAATCAATTTTAAATCCAAACTGTTTTCAATGACCCGTTTCAATCTATTTCAAGTACCATTTTATTCACTTTGTCAGAGTTTGCTACATGGGAGTTTTGATAATGCCTTAGTTAGACTAGGTCGTAAATCTCAAACCATTTTACTTAGTGGTACTTTTGGGATAGATCAATGGCAAGATGTAGAAATTTTGAATTCAAATGGGAGAAAATTTAAGTTAAATTTATCTAAAATGACTCTGATACGGAAGTGTTGGTATCAGATTGTCAAAATTTCAGAACTTTTATCGGAAGCATCGGGTTTTTTCATGCGGTGTGCAAATCGAAGGTTTAGCCAAGAGATGCTACCTACGCACACAATTCGCATTAGAGCAAGATCAAATACGGAGAAGGAAAGTAATGGATTTAATGATCCGTTCGCGAGTAAGGCTTGTCTTCGGAAAGCATCGTCAAATTTACTTCTTTTGTTGTATCTTTCTCATTATATGGCGCATATATATGCTTATGTAATAATTTGTTTTCGAAAGTTCTTGTATACTAACTTTGTAATCTCATTTTGAAATCAATAAAATTGTTTGTCGTAAAAAAAAAAAAAAAATAATCTGTAGAACACAAATAGTTAAAAACAAAAAAAAAGTTATTAAATTTTGTATTGAAAACTGAAAATTCACTTATTTGAGAACCAAAAAAAACTTAAAAATATGATTTATTTCAGAATAGATAGAGATTTAATTAACTGAGGCTTATAGAGTGAAAAAAAAATTAATTTTGGTTGAATTCAGAATCAAAATACGATTTATGTGATATTGTTAGATCATATTATCTGGCGGGAATATCCGAACATGAACGATTTAAAAATGGAAATGAGGATATATTTGAGAACCAAGACTGAAGTTTAAAGCAGTGGCGGAGCCAGCCCAAAATTATACCAGGATCAATTTAATTTATAATAAATTAAAATTAAAATATTATAAAAATATTAAATAATATCATTCAATATTATTATAAAATATAAATATATTTTTCAAATGTTAACTGTTTTAAAAATAGTTAATATTTATTAATTATTAAAAACATTAATAGAGTAATCTATTTTTTTGACAGTTAATAATAATCTTAAATGGTTAAGAAAAGAAATGAGAATTTAATGAAATAAAAATATAACTAAAAAGGAAATATCGCGTATGTAATAATAAAATGGTTCAATTATTTATGATGATAGAACTTATAAGTGGTGGAATTTTGAAAATAATAAAAGAAACACAAAAGAAACAGAAAAATATAGAATAAAAGAAAAATAATAATTAAATGGTAATTGAAATAATGGTAATTGGCCCAGGTGAAAAATGAGAATAAATTTAGAAAATCGTCATGGGGTCAGTAAACTGATCAAGCAAATATTTCGGGGTCAATAAACTGATTTTACAATATTTTACCAATTTTTCTTTTCAAATTACAAATAAATATTTTGGTAACAAAAATCCACATGAGTCATTTGACCACCCTCCTAAAGAGCTACTTCCACCACTGATTTAAAGCTACGAAACTAGATTTTAACCCCGTGCGTCCGCACGAGAATGTTTTATTTTTTATTTCTAATATAGGTTGCATTTATCTTTTTTTTTGTTTAGATATAATTTGTTTTTGTTATTTATTTTTTAAATCAAAAAATTGTTATCATATTTTAATTTTAAACAGTAAAATTTGTATATTAGTAGAATAAGAGTATGCGTTAATTAAGTATACATTAATCTAATGTTAATTATAAACTTTGTTACTATGTGAATTTAGATTTACACATAAAAAAACTATATATCTATAAATTTGCTAATCCATCCGTTTAGTTGTCTTAAATCATTTTTAATATCTTACATGTGTTGACAAACTAACCTGTATAAGACTATAATTATAATTGTATAACCCTATATATATTTACTAATATGGAATATTTGGACCAATTGATTATATAAGATATTTATTTATTATTTGTGCTATTAAAAAATGTATATATATATATATATATATAAACTGGCTAACCTGTTAGTTTAATTGTCTCAAATCATCTTAATATCTTACATGTTATAATAAATTAACTCATGGACCTTAAATATATATATATATATATAACTCTAATCAGCTCATATTATTGTATAATATAAATATTTATTAATCTCAAATATTTGATATTTTAGACCAATTGATTATGATAAAATACGATAAAATATTTATTTACTATGTATTTTTATAAAAATATTATTTAAATTTAAAATTTTAAATTAAATCTCTCCTGTATTTAAAAAATTTTAAAGTTTTAAAATTATCATCTAAATTTTTGTAATAAAATTTAATTATAATTTTTTTTTGAATTTTTTGAATTTAAATTAAATTGAATGCAAATTTTTGTAACTAAATTTAATTAAATTTATGATAATTTGAAATTTAAATTATAGATGACCTAGATTTTAGGAAATCTAAAAATATCTAAATTAATAACTAATTTTCGGAAATTAAATATTAAAATAAAATAAAATATTATAAAAAAAACTTTATGAGTGTTTGGATGCAAGCACTAAATGTGCTTCTGTTTTAATAGAATAGATGTTTAAAGAGGATTTAGAAAGCTCATTAGAATTCAAAAAAGTTATGATTGTTTGAGGATCAGATCAATAAATGGTAAACACAAGAGATAAATTAAAAATATGGGTTCAAAGATATTAAAGTTTAAGGACATTTCTATTATAATATGTTGTAATTATCCAAACTTTTACCGACATAGTTTTACCGACTCAATGTTGTGTATAAATAGACCTCTCCCTCTCTCACTTGTAGTAACTATGTGTGTAAAAAAATCAATAATAAAAGAGATTGTTTTCTCCTTCTCATCGTCTCTCTCCTAGTTCATTCATTCTCTTCTCCTTTCTTTGATACACATATATATATATATATATATATATATATATATACAAAACACATATCTCATCATATAACATATAAACTCAAGTTTTTATCACATTATTAGCACGAGCGTCTCTTGATCCGCTCTTATACCCAAAAAGGTAAAATTTAAATTTATGTTTATTTCAAGTTTATGTATTATTTCGGGATGATAGGCTCTGCCTTCCCCGAACCGTTAATATAAATTTATATGTTATTTTTTTTAAGTTTACGGGATAATAGGTTCTGCCTCTCCGAACCAATCGTTATGATAGGTTATGTCTTCACGATCATATGATCATATGGTAGACTATGTCTCCTCAGATCATATATATGGAGTAGAAGGTTAAACCTCCTCCTTAATATTATGTTTATGAAATATGGTAGGCTCTGCCTCCTCAAAATTATGGTAGGCTCTGCCTCCTCAAAAATATGGTAGGCTCTGCCTCCTCAAATTATATGGAAGGCTCTGCCTCCTATATTATTTTAAATTTTATGCTTTTATTATATGTGAGAATTAATTTTCTTTTATCATGTCTTCCTCGAAAATCAAATTTTTAAACTGAACGTTTGCTAAATTTATTTTGATAAAATTAGATACAGTTATAATGTCAAATTTAGCGAAGCTCGAAATCCCTGCCATTGATGTGTCTGGAAAAAATTATATGTCATGGGCAGTAGGTGCAAAAATGCATCTAAGAGGAAACGGGCTTCTCGATACCATCGATAAATCGGAAATGACATCAGATGAGTTAAAGGCGAAAGCCATGATATTTTTGCTCCACCACATCGATAATAGTTTAAAAGAAGAGTACATCACGAAAGAATATCCTACAGATCTTTG